TGCACTTGGTCGCTCTAGTGGCCAAGTCTTGCTGCTGCCTGCAGATATTCCCTCCATACATGGGTTCATTCAGATGACATGAGCTCTGAACATTCAGATATGTCAGATTTACTCTGTGGGAAATGCTTTATCTCATAAAGACATGCAAAACTTTGCAAAGGTGTTTAAATCGCCCAGAAATGTGTTGTAAAGTAAACATAAACCCTTTTGGTTAAAACAAGAAGGATAATTAGAGCAGCTTATTAACCTGCAGATTGGGAGCAGGTGATCCAGATGCTCTCTGATTGGCTGGTTGCAACTTTGGAGTGAATTTTGTTCCATTATTGTTGCAAAGGCAGTACTCGGATTGAGGGGGGTGTATGGAAGAGGATTAGGGCAACTGAAAGAAATGTAAAACATAAATTGATATTTAAACTTTTTTTCAGTATAATGTGAAAAAAAAGTCTGAATTCTGAGATTAAAGTCAGAATTCTGACTTTACTCTCAAAATTCTGACCTTTTACTGAGGGGGGATGTACGGAAGAGGATTAGGGCCACTGGAAAAAATAAAAAAGTTAAGTGATGTTTAAACTTTATTTCAGTATAATGTGAGAAAAAATTCTGAAATCTGAGATTAAAGTCAGAATTCTGACTATAATATCACAATTCTGACCTTTTCCTGAGGGGGGATGTACGGAAGAGGATTAGGGCCACTGGAAAAAAAAAAAAAAGAAATAAAAAAAGCTAACTGAATTTAAATTGTATTTCAGTATAATGTGAAACAAAGTCAGAATTCTGACTTTAATCTCAAAATTCTGACTATAATCTCAGAATCTTGACCTTTTACTGAGGGCGGATGTTACGGAAGAGAATTAGGGCCACTGGAAAAATTAAAAAAGTTACCTAATATTTAAATTTTATTTCAGTATAATATGAGAAAAAAGTCAGAATGCAACAATTAGATAAAAGGGAGTTAACGATAAAACATCTTCATTCTGCTTCATCACCAGCACAGAGATGTAAAAGAACAGCACAACCAATTGGATATAGTGTTAAAGATGACAAAGTGACAGCGTAATACTATAGCTGAAGTATAAGACTGTAGTTTTACTGTAAGGTGCCTTGGTCAAGGTCAATGACCGGCGTACCTGACCTGTAGCAACCATACATGCATGTTGCTTTAGGTTAATAGACTATATTAATTAGGCTATGAATGCTTCCAACAATAAAAAAATAAAAAATTCACCATCCTACTTCTTTTTTGTTTTTGACAACTAGACTACTGAGGAAAAGTGTTTTGTAAGTTGAGGTTTGGAAAAAATAAAACACAATCCAGGATAATTTGTCTGTTTTTTATTTTTATTTTATTACATTCAAAAAGAATCGCTGGTGAAGATTCCCAGTCATCCAGGTCATAGTCATTCCAAAAGAAAAGAAAATTTAAAACAATCCACTGGACTTTGTTTCCAAGTTTGAAGACGTTTCGCTTCCCATCCAGGAAACTTTTTCAATTCAGATTGTCAGGAATCACGTTGAGTTCGAGGTTTTAACAGTGTAGCCCAAGAAAGCCATGTTTTTTGTTTTAAAAAAGATGCAAATTGAAAGGTACAAAAGGGTCCACCCCTTTGGAATGGGGGTCGTTGGGATTCTTTTGTTCTCATGTTTTCAAAACAAAAACAAGATTTAGTTGGGCTACTGTATAAAACCTGGAACTGAAAGCTATTTCAGACATTTTGAATTGAAAAAGCTCCCTGGATGGGAAGTGAAACGTCTTCAATCTTGGAAACAAATTCCAGTGGATTGTTTTTGTTTTTAATTTACTTTTTTTTTTATTCAAAAAGAATCATTTTATTTCCTTTTTGTTTTTCAAATTGAATTTTTTCAACAATTTTTAATTAAAGGAAATTTATTTGAAAGAAAACACTATTAAAAATGATAGGAATGAAAATAAAATTCCTCTACCTAAAACATATTTTCTAAATTATTGTTCTTCCTTGACATATTTTTCAATATGAATTGTAATATTTTTTAATTGCGTTTTACAGATCACATTAGGTGTGTTTCAGATGAACAGCACCTTGCCTGGAATGAGGCTGAGTGTTTACAGGTGATAGACGGGGTTTTAAAAGTATTATGATCCTTGACAAAGCTGTCTGCAACTGAACAAGATGGCTGGCAGTGGTTGAGTTATGCAAGTTATTCATTGAAAATACATAAAGAAGCCACAGATCAATGGTTCAAGTTTGTATTTATGCATATCTATAGAACTAAATTAGGACATTAGATGCAGAAGCAAAGCAACGCCTCCAGCCTCCGTGGTTCCTCCAGTCTAAGAGAGGTACGTGGAAGCAGATAATAATCCAAACTCTTTTCTAACAGTTTATTTTATAATGATTTTCCAGCCATTGATTCATGTTCAATACATCAATTTATTTTGTATATCACAAGATTTTTAACTTCTCACCATGGCTACCATTTAATACAAGCTGCAACGCTATAATGCATAAGAGCCCAGGTCAGCCACAGACTGGTTCTGAAGACACTCCTTTGAGATCTGGGCTGTGCTTTGAATCTGAGGTCCAGAGCATTTTTGGAGCAGGTGTTTCTCCAAGAGGCCTCTGTACATTACTGCATCCTGACCAATATTCCCCTAACATGATGCTGCCACCACTATGCTTCAATGTAGGGGTGGTATTGGTTTCCTCCAAACATGATGCCTGTTATTCAATTTTTCAACCTTCATCTCATCAGACCAGGGAATTCAGGTTCTCATGGTCTGGAAGTCCTTCAGGAGCCACGAGGGTTCACCCCATAAAACCAGCCTTTTTTTTTTCATTAGGGAGCTGCTTCCATCTGGCTGTTCTTGCAAACAGGCTAAACATGACTAAAAAAACAAGAAGTTTTTCAAAGTTTCTTGTCCGGACTTTTTTTTTGTTTCAAATTTCTATAAAAAATGTGTTCTTTGCTTGCAACAATAATGGAAGCAAATTCACTCCATAGTTTCTCCGATGACCTCCACTTCTAGGGGCGAGCTCTTCTCTGGAATCAGGAGGAAAGACGCATTTCTATTGGTCTGCCTGGTTGCTTGCAACATTTCATACTCAAGACTGTTTGTATTTGGACTTGAGTTAAGACAGTGTGACCTGAAAAAATGTAATTTGTGAAACAAGTTTTTTTTATATATATATAAAATTGTAAAAATACTGTTAAAATAGTAAAAAAAAATAAGAATATCTGAGATGATTGCAAATCTACTCTCTAATTTCCATTCCTAGATCCCTTTTTTTCAAATTGTGTTTAAAAAAAGGGCATATTTTAAAATTTCTACTTACCCAAGTGTTCTTTGATTGCATCATCAATAGAAGGAATTTTGCTCCATACCTGTATTTCAGCTGAATTTTGAGCTTCATGGTAATGGTTGTGATTACTTTCAGAAATGTGATTTGTGAAGTTCAAGCTTTGACGCTAATTCTGATATTTTGAATCGAAAAAGCTTCCTGGATGGGAAGCAAAACGTCTTCCAACTTGGAAAATAAAGTCCAGTGGTATCTTTTTTTTTTTTACTTTTTTGGAATGACTATGACCTGGATGACTGAGAATCTTCACCAGCAATCTCCTAAAAAACCTTTTTTTCCCCACAATATCATAACCAGATATTATGTGTAAAATTTCAAGTAAAAAGATTATTTCAAAACTGTTGGGAACAAGACTCTAAAATGAGTAGATATGGGAAAGGTGCAGCATTGTGAGCACTTTAGAGAATTTGAGATAATTTGGATTTAAAAATCATTCTAATTTTGTTATTTCTAATGAATAGGAAAACAATAAAGACGCTGTGTTTCTTGTTTAATGGCCCTTATGCAGCTAGGTCTCCAATCTGACTTGCATATGAAGTCTTTTGGGAAAACAGGAGCCTAACAAAAGGCCCAAAATGTATTTGTGTTCTCCCATCTTCTACAAAGGAGTGGTGAACGGTAAACAAAGAGAAGCAGTTGGGGCAGTTCAAACAGTCCACTTATATTAGCAATTCCCTGCTATGAGTGCTTGTTTCATCTGAAAGGGGAAGGTTATTTACTGAGACAAAAATAAAAGTCTCACCTTGCATCCAAAACAGACATGAAGCACTTTTCTGCATAAATATTTTAAGAGTGGTGTCCTGACTTCTTGCTTTATTGCCTTTTAAACTCTGAGGATTGTTGGTTATCATGCTGCAGTGTAAAGCAACATATAAAAACCTAAATGTCTGCTGCCCCCTTGAGGAACAAAGAGGAATGTCTTTTTTTTTCTTTTATATAAATAACTTTAATTTAGAATTCATTGGCTAATTCATTCATATATATATATATATATATATATATATATATATATATATATCAAAGTGGAACAGTTTGTAGGTGTTTCCTTGCAGCAGGAAGATTCTGGGTTCACTTCCTAGCCCAGATTCTTTCTGCATGGGGCTTGCATGTTCTACTCCTCAGTTGGGTTCTCTCTAGGGAACATGGATGGATGGCTGGAGATATGAATATATATATCACATATGTTGCTGCATGTATGCATGCTGGGTGTGAGGGATTTCTGCAGAGTCAAAGAGACAATGCAAGCGAACGTGTACTGTGGCCATTTGTCCTGCAAAGTCAATAATTTGATGTAATCAGCTGGTTTTCATTAGAATTGGGGCCATATAAATAAAGTGGAATTCTGTTCTGTCAGAAAGAGATAAGCACTGTTCCAGAAAATGCTTCAGGATGAAAACGTCGTACTTCCGGTGGTTAATTTACCAAATACCGCGTAAATGTACAAAGATCTCTGAATGTATAAATAAGTTGTCCTCTGGTTATTATAGAATAAAAAAAAAAACTGTATTATTTTGAATTGTTACCTAATCTAATAGAGAAAAAACAAACAGATGATTGGTGATCTTAGCCTCTGTAGAGAAATATCTGCTTTCAGCTGTTCGATGTGCTAACAAGCAAAATTGACACGACTGATTCAATAACACGAGGAAAAATGCTCAGCAAAAGTAGTTTTTTCTCCCCTTGTTTATTATCTGGCAGGTTTTTAAGTTTTGGAATGTGACAAACAAAAGCTAAAAGAAAGTATCATGTTAAACAGCAACGTCCATGTGATAAACAGCAGCTTCTAGCTCCTTTCCAGAGCGAACAGCTGATAACGGTTATCCGAGCGTCTGAATTCCTCGATGATGTTCACTAAGAAGATTGCAGTGAACCCCTCCTGTAGGGTCAAGGCTGTGCTGCAAACACGACTTCAGTTCTGGACATTCACAGCTTGGTGACGATCACCCCGACGCAAGACAAGTCGAGAAATGTAAAGGCGGACAAATCTAAGGCGGTGCAGCCAGGTCACTGCACTCCTTTCAGACCTGGCCTCATCAGTCCCTTGAAGACTCGGATCTTTCCTGCACCGGTGAGGTCGAAGCTGTAGTCTGTCGTGACGTACGGCGTCTCGCCTTCAATGCCGGCCTGAAACAGAGATGAAGATTTCAGTTAAAACACATACAGATGTCAGCGCGTGATGAGCATGCTGGATAAAACGGCAGCAGACCTGCGCAGTTAGGATGCATGAAGGCAGCGATATCTCCCCCAAGAGGAGACAGTTGACTTTTTTGAGGATGGAGGGATCTACAGGAGTCAGCAGGAAGTACAAACCTCGCGCCATGTCGATTCCTCGGATTACGCCTGGAAGACATTGAAAGGCAAGTTTATTATAAAACACATTTCAGTTCTATGACAATTAAAGGTGCTGAGAGTTAGAAGGAAAGCAGATTCCAGAGGCATAGAGGAGACCAATAATTAGAGAGAAGGGAATAATTATAGTAAGGCGATTATATTAAAAAAGGATAAAATTGTATAAAAAAATAATAAATAGTAAAATTGGGCCGAAAACTTAACTAATAAAATTTAGATAGCTCAGTCAAAGGCCACTAAGAATATTTTTACTACCTTGATTTAAAGGAACTTAGGGTTTTAGCACTTTTACAGTTATCTGGGAGTTTAATTCAGATTAGTATAGAATACGAATCAAAAGCTGCTTCTCCGTGTTTGGTTTATTGATTTATAGACTTGCAGAAGTATTTAAATATAATAAATAAAATAATAAATAAAAAATTTAACATTGGAAAAATCTACTTCTGCATTTAACCCATTCCCTTGGGGAGCAGTGGGCTGCCATTGTGCGGCGCCCGGGTAGCAGTGTGGGGTTAAGGGTCTTGCTCAGGGACCCAGAGTCCTAGCCTCGTGAGACCATCCTGATCTCGCGAGCTTTCAAGGTTTCACTCGCTAATCAGTCTGGAGACTCTCCGTTAAAGAAAATTTGGAGCCGTTCACCAAACGAACGTCCAATCAGCGTTGGCTTTGAGGCGGGTTGAGGTGTGACGCAACGATAAGCGCGACAGTTCAGTCTAAAGAACATGGCGGGTTCAGCCAATGAAACTAGTGTTAGCGTGGCTATCCAGCCAGTTTTATCGGAATTACACAGTATTTCTTCACTGAAAGAAGCAAACGGCAAATATCCTTTGTCGACATGTTGCTTATTTGCTAAGCTAACGAGCCTTTACCTGCAGCGGCAAGAGTAGCCTGGCTTGTGGTTGTGTTTTCGTCGTCGCTCTGTTAGTACGTCATATGCTTCGTTGATCTGATTGGTTTATTTGGCCCGTCTATCACCAACATAGGCCAATCAGCTAACCAGTATTTTCGCCCCTTCCCAAAATTACTTCAACGGAAGGTTTCCAGATGGATATCCGGAGCAAATCCAGCAAATCCATCTGGCGGAGTCAGGTTACCAGAGTGCAGGCTGTAGGGATCGAAGCGATTACTTGCTTTAAAGTTGGGTACTTATTTTAAAGTCTCTTCTCTGAGATACGGGGAGCCAGTGGAACTGGGCTGATGTTCTCCACTTTCTTAGTTCTAGTGAGGACAGAGGTAGCAGCATTCATCATCAGTGATTAATTCAGCTAAAGATTAACAAAGCAGGAATTACCGTATTTTCCAGAATATAGAGTGCACCTCACTAAATGCTGCACCCACTACATAAAAAAAAAAAATCGGGAAATGTTCGTATACAAGCCACTGATATCTACTGAATTGTCCCCCACCAAACCTGTAGGGAAGCTCTATATATCACCTCTAGAGTAGGGAGGTAGAAGAATGCTAGCTCCCTTTAGCTTGTTGGCATGCGGCTGTATAGCTTCTACAGAAAGGTGGGGCTTCGTCTGCTCTTTTTTCAGCTCTGCAGGAGTTGAGCTCAGTCTCTTCATTGGTTCGGCAGCTTTAATGCGGCAAATAAATGTCAAAATGTGTGAATTTGGGACATTTGTTCTCCATTGTGCCTGCTAGCATATTCTAAATGAAAATTATCCCCTTCTTTGATTTCCAAATTTGACTTCCAACCCCCAGTGGTTGGGAAAAATACAAACAAATGCCCCGCCTTTGTATAAGCTGCATGGTTCAAAGCGTAGGAATAGCGGCTTAAGGCTGATTTATACTCAGCAACCAGGTCGTCTGTGTGTGTGGCGCAGTGAATGCAAATATGCCCCCACCCCTTCTGCAGACACTCTGGTGCACCTCTCCATACTTGTAGGTGACCGCAGACAGGAGGCCTCTGATTGGTCAAATCTACATCCGCTCTACACAGTGCTCATTTCCTGTTTCTTACCAGCTTGTTTTGTTTGTATGACCGCCACTGTGGAAAACAACTCGTTAAGTTGGACCAGCTAGAAGAGCGAGATGCTTGAGAACGCTGGAACCATTTTCCCACCTGGATCCCCGCTCTTTTTCGCCCTCATGTCCCTCCATTGTCGCACAAACTTGCCCCCACTTCCTGGCTGCCTCGGCCGTATCTAGACCCACAGCTAGTTCCTTATTTTCCTTCCAAAGTATTAAGCCTAGCCTTAAAAGTAGACAGGGTGTCTGCCTCACAGAATAAAACTGGTAGTTAGTTCCACAGGAGAGGAGCCTGATAACTAAAAGATCTGCCTCCCATTCTACTTTTAGAAATTCCAGGAACCACTAGTAAACCTGCAGATTGAGAGCGAAGTGCTCTGTTAGGAACATAAGGAACAATAATATCGCTGATATCAGATGGAGCTTGGCCATTTAAGGCTTTATATGTGAGAAGGAGGATTTTAAATTCTATTCTTGATTTAACAGGAAGCCAATGAAGAGAAGCCAGGATAGGAGAGATATGATCTCTCTTTTTCATTTTCATTAGAACTCTGGCTGCAGCATTTTGGATCAGCTGAAGGCTTTTAACTACAGTTTGTGGACTTCCTGATAGTAAAGAATTACAATAGTCCAGCCTTGAAGTAACAAATGCATGGACTAGTTTCTCAGCATCACCCCTGGACAGGAGATTTCTAATTTTTGCAATGTTCCTCAGATGAAAGAAGGAAATTCTAGAAACCTCTTTGATATGGGGTTTAAATGACAGGTCCTGATCGAAAACAACATCAAGATTTTTTACTTTATTATCTGAAATCAGTTTAATCTCATCCAAATGAAGTGACTGGCTAATCAGCTTCTTTTTCAGAGACTCTGGTCCAAAGACTATAACTTCTGTTTTGTCTGCATTCAGAAGCAGAAAGTTAAGAGTCATCCAGGTTTTTATGTCTTCAAGACATGCCTGTAATCTATGTAATGGGTTAGCTTCATCTGGATTTATAGACAGATATAGCTGGGTATCATCAGCATAACAGTGGAAATTAATCCCATGCTGTCTAATAACTACCGATTGTGAACATATAGCTAGTAAAGAAAATTGGTCCTAGCACTGATCCCTGTGGTACTCCACAGGTAACCTTTGAGCATGACAAAGATTTATAATTTAACATGAACAAACTGAATTCGATCAGATAGGTAAGATTTAAACCAGTCTAGTGCTGTTCCTTTAATTCCAACAAAATATTCAAGTCTTTCTAAAAGAATATTATGGTCAACTGTATCAAATGCAGCACTAAGATCTAACAGGACGAGCACAGATACAAGTCCATTATCTGAGGCCATGAGAATATCATTAGTGACTTTCACCAGAGCTGTTTCAGTGCTATGATGAGCTCTAAAGCCAGACTGAAACTCTTCAAAGAGTTCATTATGATGTAAGTGATCGCAAACTTTTTGGCAACAACTTTCTCAAGAATTTTATGAAAGGAAGATTAGATATAGGTCTATAATTAACCAAGTCATCTGGATCAAGAGACGGTTTCTTAAGTAAAGGTTTAATTTCAGCAACCTTAAAAGCCTTCGGTACATATCGCTGTAACAGAGATAGATTAATCACATCTAAAATGGAGGAGATCAAAATAATGATCTATTTATTATTCCTTGCTGACCGAACTTTTCTTTTAAAGGCAAATTCAATTTAAATAGTCAGTTAAAGGAAATTTAGTACACGTTGTCAAAAGAAGGTAAAAAAAAAAAAAAAAAAAAATCAACGTACCAAACCCCACACATGGACATAGGGGTGCTTGCGACAGGATGACCGGTCCGACCTTGCTTATGATTTTTTCTGCCAAGCAGCAGAGTCCCACCAGACTAGCATTGGCAGCGTACAACATGTGGGAGGGAGCGACTTCACAGTGGATAACGCCCAAAGCCACTGATGTGTTAGGCACCTGCAAAACAATCATTAGCTGCGTTAACATTAAAACTAAACACCAAACACTGAAAGCAACAGCAGCAATAAAAAGCTATTTTTTCATTATTCTAAGATGAGCATGTGTTTGACTCTATCAACTTTGGTGCAGAGAAGATGAAAAAGTAATAGTAATGGTGTAACTTATAGGGATGGGAATCGAAAACTGGTTCCTTTTCAAACCGGTTCCGTGTGTTCCAATATCATGGCATCGTTTGGCAGCTCGCTTAATGATTCTCTTCCAGGCAGCACCAGAGCCTAGCGCTGGGCAGCATGACTTACGTCACGTTTTTTACACAAGTTACGCACACAGCATTCATTAAGCAAGTACGACGTGAACAGGGGCAAGTCTAGAAAAGCAAAACAAAAGCGGTCAAAGCGATTAAAGTTTGGCTTCATTTTAAGGAAGAGAAAGATGGCAACACAGGCATCCTACAGCATAAGGCAAGTTAAATTCAAGACTTTTTAATGCCACTTGAAATAAAAATTTAAGACCAAATTCACAAGAAACACAAGAAAAACCTGCTTGCGACAACTTAACCCAAAGGTTTATTTTAACATAAACCACTGCACTAATGTTTCAGATTTTGAAAAGCTTCCCAAACAGGAAGAAAGCTAAAAACACACAAATGACAATTTTAACTATTATTTAACTGAATTCACAAACTTTGTTTTGGCAGGGAACAAAACAAATCAGTTTTAAAGCCACAACATAACCAGTGCTAAGTCTTTTTTGCAGCTATTTTTCTTTGTATCGTTTTCTTAGTCTGTTTGATTTGGTGATAAGTGGAGGCGTTGCGGAGACAAGGGTGGAACTAAACTGAGAAATACCGGCTGTTTCTCTGTAACTCCATTTTGACGCTTTGTGTTTCGCGATTCGCATGTGCGACTCCACTGCCTTAATTCCCATCGTTCTGAGCTTGAATGACTTCTTGCACAAAATCCACTGAGCTTCATGTATGTTCCCTGGTTTTAACCATAGAGGATACTCTTGGCTGGAGACAATTTTCCAGACAAAAACTAAATGGTGCATCTCCCAAATGTCCCGGCCGCAACAACGCTTTTATTGGTTCCGCTATCGGGACGGAACCAATAATGGCAAGCCGTTATTTTTTTCAAAAAAAAAAAAAAAAAAAGGTAAATTTTAATGTTGTATTTAGAATACAAAAATAAATCATAATAAAAATAATCCTTTTTATGATGTTTTAAAAATCAAGACCTACGAAAGACTGATTTAAGACATTTTAATACCAATTAAGGCCTTAGTTTTATTTTGAAGAATTCAATGCCTTTTAAGGCTTTTTAAGGATCCGCGGGAATCCTGCTACAAGGCGCTTTGCAATCATTGCAAAGTGGTGATTACATCCGTGGGAGGAAATACATCAAACATGCAGAAACACCTGCGCTCACAAGATGGCATACATTTTAACAAATGCCGTGTTTTTGATGCTTCCGGACAGAAGCTAAAGTTATGACCAGCATGGAAGGCAGCTCTGTTGTTAAGTAGCTAGTTTATATCACTGGCTGTGCTTAATGTGGGTCCTAGTGAATCAGATGCCATTTCTGGAAATAAACCTATTTTCTACCTTTCTTTGGGGTTATTAAGGGAGTGTGTGTTTCTCGTTACTCCAGCCCTTCATTGCTAGCATTTTTAATTAGAACTACTGATAGCTGGAATTCTTACATGATTCTAGCTGTAAAAAATGTAAATCTAAAAGAGTCATTTTTTCTTAGAATAAGTGCATTTTATCCTGAATTGAGGAGATAAATGAGACACTTTGCCAATGAAACAAGACAATTTACATTTGAAATAAGAAAAATCAATTGCATTGTCTTATTTCAAGTGTAAAAAATTGGCAAACTATCTTATTTACCTGTTCAAATTAAGGGTAAATACACTTGATTTAAGACATTTTTACTTAATTTCAGATTGTTTTTGCAGGGATGGATGAACCGAAACATGCTACGAAATGGCTCCGCAGATCAGGGAGCGAGAGAAAGGTGACGCTCATTTATTTAAATCAGGGGGAGATGAGTTTATTTCCCGAAATTGTACAGTAATGGTTTTTTTATTAAACGGATGCCTTCTCCATTAGATTTAGATGACTGTGAGGAGACGGGTGGCCTGGCTGGCTCAGAGGCTGGCAGCTCCCGTTCACTGCCTTCTGTTTTCGCCGAGGCAGGCAGATATAGAACGTCCCAGGCGAAGGTAGACGAATGTCACCGAGCACTCACCAAGTTCATTGTTTCACAGAATCGATAAGGGAATCGGAATAGTGAAAATCTTATCAATTCCCAACCCTAGTAACTTACCTGGTATGGGGTGAGGGTATGTAGGGGTCTCACTGGTCCAGGGTCAGGAGACTGTAGCTGACTCAAGTAGCCCAGCAGAGACAGCTCTCTGTGCTCATTGGAACGCTGGTGTGTTCTGTTAAATACATCAAACCGGGTCACCAACAAGCTACCATATCAAGCCCAGAGTCTTTCAGGTTAATACTGAACTCACGCTGTCCCTTGGCGCCCCACGTTTAGGAACTCTGACTGCACGCTGAGGTGGGTGTACGCTCTGGGAGGGCAGTGGCTCTCTGTGAACTCGTCCAGGGCGGTCTGAGCGGGCGGGTGTGTCTGATAGCCCTGCGCCGTCCTCAGAAACTCCGGAGTGAGGGAGGGAAACTGGGTGGTGCTTCCGTGACTGAGCTGGACGACGTGAGTGACTGGGAGGAAGCGGATCAGATCCACCAACAGCTGGAGTCCAAACCCTGCAGACAGACAGACATCTTTTAGCAGAGCTTAACTCCCTCGAGGTGTTTGCTTCCGCCACAGTGAGGAGTCTGGACTGACCTTTGACCCAGCCTGCAGTGTTAATGATGACGGGCATTTCTCTGTTCTGTGGACGTCTGCGCCATAAGGACTTGAGAGAATCCAGGTAGTGGTCCAGGTCTGTCTCGCATGAAGGCTGGCCGTAGTAGATCATGTGGTCTGGGGTGATTTGGTGAGTGAATGGAGGACCTGAAAGGCAGCATGGGGTGAGTCTACAACTAAACAGCACCAGGTGGAGGTTTTTAAGTTACATCAAGAACCATTGTTATTTATTAATCTGCATATTCTTCTATATACGGTCCTAAAAAAAAAAAAAATCAAAGTTTTTCTTTCCTTCATCTTAGAACATCACTGTTTAAAATCAACCTTTATGAGGCCGTTTCAGACACACTGCTTTACAGAGTCTGCTGCTTCATCTTTGATGCTTTCTGATGGAGGTCAGAAGGGTCAGAAAAGGGCTTCATAAACTGATAGGCATTAGGAGGAACTACTCTCTTTATCTTGCACAATGTGGGATGAAATCAAAGTTTGTTTTTTGTTTCTATTTACCGTATTTTCACGACCATAAGGCGCACCGTACTAAAAGGCGCAGTCTCAGTTATGTGTGCCATTACTGTATTTAACACACATAAGGCGCACCGGACTATAGGGCGCGTGTTTTATATACCGGTACATGTCATCTACTACGTTTAAATACCTCTACTGCGTATTTAAAAATAGAGCGGGAGCAAAACTGAGTATGATTGTGCTTTATTCATGTATTTATTACAAAGTATTAATCAAACCCATCAAAGTCCTCATCCTCTGTTTCTGAATTAAACAGCTGCGCTAAATCAGACATGCCAATTTCCCCTTCTTCGCTGTCAGAGTCACTTTCCGTGCCGCGCGGCTCCTCGGAAATGATGCCGGCTTTTGCGAAAGCTTGAACAACAGAGCCAGCAGACACGTTAGTCCAAGCATCTACAATCCATCCGCAAACGGTGGCGTAACTTGCCCGGCGCTGCCTTCCACTTTTCGTGAAACTGTGGTCTCCGTCTGTCATCTATCGCTCCCACGCCGCTCGCAGCCTTACTTTGAACGGCCGGTTCACACCGATGTCGAGCAGTGGAAGTTCCTTTGTCAGACCCCCCGGATAACAGCGTTCATTTGTTTCACCGTGTTTTTCACATCGGCTGTGAGATGGGCACGCATGGAGTCACATATTAACAGCGATGGTGATGCGTGAAAAAAAAACCATGGTCTCCTTACATACACCTCCCTCAGCCACGCTTTCATCATCTCCTCATCCATCCAGCCCTTTTCATTTGCCTTAATAACGACTCCAGCTGGAAAAGTCTCTTTAGGCAAAGTCTTTCTCTTAAAAATCACCATAGGCGGCAGTTTCTGTCCATTTGCGTGGCAGCCAGTCCACGCCTACACTTCCCCCTATAACGTTCTCATGGTGGTCTCAACAACGTCCGCAGTAACAACACACATAGGACGCACTGCACTATAGGGCACGCAGCACATTTTGAGGGAAAAAAAGACGTTTATATGCACATTATAGTCGTGAAAATATGGTAAATAAAGCTAGGGAACACCAACATCAGGCACCTCAGTGGCATTTCTGGATTCACCAGATACTTTAAAGGTGTATAGTCTGTGAAGAGTTTCATCACCTCCTCCCACAGCTACACCCTTTGGGAGCTATTTTAGTCTCATCCGAGCCCAATTTGACAAACTGCCGGCCCACATCGCTGCCCGGATGTTCTACCAGGACAACACACGGCTGAGGCTCTCTCTGATTGGTTGTCGTAGAGCAGAAAAAATTTGAATTTTCCAACTAAAGCATCACCAGCTTGTGAAGCACCTATGATGATGATGACATCTTCATGAAGTGCTGCTCTTGCAGGACCTCGTGATTCGCTTCAAACAAAAACTTTGCGTCTAAACTGGATTCTTCTGCCGCTTAAAGCGCATTCGGTGTAAAAACAGCTCAACACTATGGGGTTAGTTTGTGAAAATAGTTCAACTGGATGAGGAAACTTTTTAGAATTACAATGGAATTATGCAGATAACCTGAATTCAGAAACAATATTTTTAAAGGAATTTACCTCCTTTGCACTTATACATGAGGGAAGCACTGCAAAGAAGTGAATCCTGCACAGTTAAGACCCATCGTTTCTCAAAGACGAGTCAAAACATTGTTACCAGCTAAACTACTTTGCTATATCTAGTAACTTTTTCTTGAAAAAAAGCAACTAGCAATAAATCTAGCGACTTGTTGGAGACTTTGGTAACAACGTGAAAGCATGAGTTTATGGTGCGATCACTGACGGGGAGTCAGATGCAGCAGCTGCAGCCTGTTTATGCAATAATTGAACATCAGTCATGCTGGAAGCTGCCAACGATGCCCTCTGAATTAATAAGTTGGATATAAATAGAAGATTTTGAATATTTTTTTCTTTGCACCTGTTGCACTAACATAGATATCTGCATTTATTTCACACACAACGTCATCCATTGTGTCTCTGCTAAGTCTTTAAGGTAAATTGGATTTATTACTGATTATTTATCTAGTCTTAGTTGGGTTCATTAGAGAATCAATCATCACTAAACATCAAGCTGAAAAAAAAATCTCACCCAGAAGTGGTTCTTTGACGGTCAACAACGACAAGCAACCAGCCGGGGTGAATTCTGTTTGACCAAGATCTCCTTCCAAATAATCCACACTGGAAGTACTGCGATAAACAACAAGACGGACATAGTGTTATTCTTTCATATCGGACATGTTAACATCAGAAAACACAATAAGCAGCTTACTCGCTTAAAAAAAAAAATTCAAAATGGTTTAAAAAAAGGAAAGAAGCAAAGTATGGGTTGTGGGAACTCACTGATTCAGTAACGTATTGATGAGGATCCGGATAAATGTTGATTTTCCAACATTTTTGATCCCACACACCAGAATAACCGCACTGCCATCGAAGTCTCCTAATAAACAAAAACCCAAAGGACACGATTACAGCAAGTTTCAGGCCAAGAAGTAAAAAAAAAAAGCAACAAATTTGATTGAGGAACTGTTTTCATTGTCAAGAGGGGGGAAAAAAATGGATCCCATTAAAATCATAAACAATTTTGATCATTATGTATCAATATTAATAGGGGGCAAGTAGGTCATGTGACAGTGACAGCAAAGGACTTTGGGCATTTATGTCATGGCGTCAAAATTTGGGGATGCATACAAGATACAATATGGGGGAAAAACACTTGGCCTTATAAAGCAAGATTATAATTTTATATCAATATCGGATCGGTGGATCCTTGGTAAAACTGACAAATTGTATGGAAGAACATTTTAACGCAGAGTAGTGACCTAAAGAAAAAGAAAGAAATAACCTCTGATTACCAAAAAAAGTATACATTTATAGGTAGTAGTCATTATCTATAAATTGGAATCAGAGTCCTGGAGTGGCCTGTTAGTCTGTTTGTGATACCTTTGAAAATAAATCTTTATAAAGACATCAACCAGTGTTTCCCATTAACGAACGAGACTGTGGCTCTCGTTTGGGCCGCCACAGTCTGATATAGACACACAGAGAGAGAAAACGACAACAACAAAAAGATCTGTCAGTTTATCAGACCATTCCACAGCTGTACTTTCATACTGCCTGTAACCCAGCGCCATAGAGAGACAAATTGTTTACGGCCATAACCAAGCGACAGGAAGAATGTGCACCATGCTCATAGATGGTCAGTGGCGGTTCTACTCCTCGGGTGAAACCCACTCCAAGCGCCAGTTATGTAGGTGCAAAAAGAGGAAAAGGTGCATTGCGGTATATACAGTGCAATATATATATATATTTATTTATTTATGAATTCAATTATTGAAGACAACAACTATCACCCTAAAGATGCTTTGCTAATGCTACTAGCCAGTCTCATGAGCCAGGATTTCCTGAAAAGTAGCCAATCACAGGCTGTTTACTTTCTCAGCTTCTTTCCAAGTGACAAAAGTAGAGATGCACGATATAATCGGCCCCCTATCGGTATTGGCCTTAAAACTGAATATCGGACATCGGCCACCCCACCGTTATTTAACCCGATATTTGATCAGCTTCTGAGTTTCGAAAGTCTAAAAAAATTAAATAAATACTACTTCTTCATCTTCCTCAAAAACTTCTTTTTTACAGACTTAAAAACTTCTAAAGATGAAGGAAAATCCCCCGAAAATTCACGAAATTTTGCCATATTTTTATATGTTGATATATTGACGCGGTATCGATCTATTTTACTAACAAAATCTCACAAGAATTTGCAAAATATCACGAGAGTTTGTAACAGAACGATGAAATTTCACGAGATTTTGAAAGTAAAATAGATTGATACCGCGTTTTTAAAAATCTATTTGATACCAGCATATGAAAATATATTTGAGTATATTATTTTTCAAAGTGTCAGAAATGGATAATAAAACTGCTATTTTCAATGACTACTTATTTTTGTCCAGTTTTAACATCGGTATCGATATCGGTTATCGGCTACATGAGTTTTAAAATATCGGCATATCGGATATTGGCCAAAATCCCAATATCGTGCATCCCTAGACAAAAGTTGACAGGAGCCACAGAAACAGGTCCAGATGATTGGTTCAGTGACAGATGAAGAGTTAAACAGGTGAGTTTTACGAGAAAGGTAAGCATTGATACGCACCGAGTGTATTGACCTGAAAGGCCATGTATCGTATCTCAAATTAAGCTAACCCTTGGGCTAAAAGTTAAGCAGCATTGCTTTAAGCTAACATTTTTGAATCAAAGTGTTATTTTTTGAGGGTCTACTGTCATATTCAAACCTTCAGCATTAGGTTACTGATAGCTTTAAGGGGAAAACCGTACAATTAAAGGTAAAAACAGTCTGTTTGGATTTAATCCATGTTTTCTATTTACTGATGGATTAACTGGAATAAACACACTTTTTAACAGCACTATAACTAATACCAAATAATTTAATTCCCTAGACTAATCTGTGTTCAGAAGTGTGTTGGTGTGTCTAGAGTGTCGGTGCTCACCTCTGCAGGCATTCACAACAGCACCAAGAGCTTCTCTGCAGCTCCTGGATGTTTTCAGTCCCTCGATGGAGCTGGCTAAAGGAATCACACCCAGACCGTTCAGCGGCGTGTCAAGAACCGCAGACATGAGTTCACTCTATGTTTTTAAAAGAAAGAATAAGTCAAACTTGATATTTGAAAATCCCATTTCATGAGCATTAGGCAACATTCCTACCATGGCGGGGCTGAACAGTTCACCAAGATGACTAAAGCTCGACAGGAAACGTGTCAGAGGAGACTCCAGAGGATCCAGTAGGATGATGGAGGAGGTCGGCGTTACCTTTTTTACCAACTTCTTCCTGGACACTGCAGATAGAAACAAATTTCCAATATAGAGAAACCAAAACCATCGCAGAGTTGAGTGAGCCTCATAATAAAACTTCCAGACTCAGAGATGCAACAACAAATGTTCTTGAGCAGAACCTGAGTGGAGGTGTCTGCAACCTTTAAAACCCAAACAGACATTTTACCCCAAGTCTGGCTGAATAAAAGCTGTTCAGAATATTACACAACCTTTTAGGGGTGTAAATCACATCCATCATGGCGATTCGATTCAGTATCGATTTCCTGACCCAACGATTCGATTATTTTCGATACTCAAGAAAACACCACGATTCGATTAATCTTTTTTTTTACACCTTACAGGCTAAACAAAGTTTCAAGTTTGAAATAAATCAATGAAAGCTGTAATATCATTATGCATTTTCTTTAGAAACAACAGCAAATAACAGAAGTAGAAAAGTTGCATCAAAAAATACTGCAAAAAATACTGCACAATATCAGTGTAATGAGTTCAATGCAATACCTCGGCTCCAGAGAAACTGTCCAACATATTTTTTTAGAATGTAATAAATATACTCAGGAAAGAGAGATGTTGCATAGAGAGTTAGACAGGAATAAAAAATAAATTACATTTAAGGTAATTGTTTCAAAGGTAATCTGGGGATGTAGTTTTTGGTAGTATTTTTAATTTTCTAAGAAGAACGGGTATTTTAGGGAGAATGTACAGGTGCTGGTCATAAAATTAGAATATCATGAAAAAGTAGATTGATTTCAGTAATTCCATTTAAAAAGTGAAACTTGTATATTATATTCATACATTACATACAAACTCATATATTTCAGATGTTTATTTTGTTTAATTTTGATGATTACAAATGACAACAAATCGGTGCAAATAACATAAAATAATTTGGAGCCGCAACAGTTGGTCAGCTTTTGCATAACAAAGTGTGTAAAAGTTTTGACAGCAGCTGCAATGTACTCTAAAATGAACTGTGTATGATCTAAGCTAACATCAGCTCCATTGTTTACAGGTGCTGGTCATAAAATTAGAATATCATGAAAAAGTAGATTGATTTCAGTAATTCCATTTAAAAAGTGAAACTTGTATATTATATTCATACATTACATACAAACTCATATATTTCAGATGTTTATTTTGTTTAATTTTGATGATTACAATTGACAACAAATGAAAATCTCAAATTCATCATATCAGAAAATTAGAATATTACTGAAGACCAATAAAAACAAAGGATTTATAGAAATGTTGGCCAACTGAAAAGTATGAACATGAAAAGTATGAGCATGTACAGCACTCAGTATTTAGTTGGGCCTCCTTTGGCCTGTATTACTGCAGCAATGCGGCGTGGCATGGAGTCGATCAGTCTGTGGCACTGCTCAGGTGTTATGATAGCCCAGGTTGCTCTAATAGTGGCTTTTAGCTCTTCTGAATTGTTGGGTCTGGTGTATTGCATCTTCTTCTTCACAATACCCCATAGATTTTCTATGGGGTTAAGGTCAGGAGAGTTTGCTGGCCAATTAAGAACAGGGATACCATGGTCCTTCAACCAGGTACTGGTAGCTTTGGCACTGTGTGCAGGTGCCAAGTCCTGTTGGAAAATGAAATCTGCATCTCCAAAAAGTTGGTCAGCTGCAGGAAGCATGAAGTGCTCTAAAACTTCCTGGTATGTGGCTGCGTTGACCCTGGACCTCAGAAAACACAATGGACCAACACCAGCAGATGACATGGCACCCCAAACCATCACTGACTGTGGAAACTTTACACTGGACTTCAAGCAACGTGGATGAAGTGCCTCTCTTCTTTTCCTCCAGACTCTGGGACCTTGATTTCCAAAGGAAATGCAAAATTTACTTTCATCAGAGAACATGACTTTGGACCACTCACCAGCAGTCCAGTCCTGTTTCTCTTTAGCCCAGGCAAGACGCTTCTGACGCTGTCTGTGGTTCAAGAGTGGCTTGACACAAGGAATGCGACAGCAGAAACCCATGTCTTTCATACGTCTGTGTGTGGGGGTTCTTGAAGCACTCACTCCAGCTGCAGTCCACTCTTTGTGAATCTCCCCCACATTTTTGAATGGGTTTTGTTTCACAATCCTCTCCAGGGTGCGGTTATCTCTCTTGCTTGTACACTTTTTTCGACCACATCTTTTCCTTCCCTTCGCCTCTCTATTAATGTGCTTGGACACTGAGCTCTGTGAACAGCCAGCCTCTTTAGCGATGACCTTTTGTGTCTTGCCCTCCTTGTGCAAGGTGTCGATGGTCGTCTTTTGGACAACTGTCAAGTCAGCAGTCTTCCCCATGATTGTGTAGCCTATAGAACTAGACTGAAAGACCATTTAAAGGCTTTTGCAGGTGGTTTGAGTTAATTAGCTGATTAGAGTGTGGCACCAGGGGCCATCAATTTTGAACCTTTTCACAATATTCTAATTTTCTGATATGATGAATTTGAGATTTTCATTTGTTGTCATTTGTAATCATCAAAATTAAACAAAATAAACATCTGAAATATATGAGTTTGTATGTAATGTATGAATATAATATACAAGTTTCACTTTTTAAATGGAATTACTGAAATCAATCTACTTTTTCATGATATTCTAATTTTATGACCAGCACCTGTAATAGTTTGTCTGGTCCATACTCCATTCTGGAAGGTGGCGGTAATGCACCTATAAGTTGTTTGCCAACCGCCATTAAAAAAAGAAGAAGAAGAAGGCTCCAGAGTGTCGACGTCACCGCCCCCTTGAGAGACGCTCCGCTGCTCCTCTCCCAAATTGCAGCTGACCGCAAACAGTGCACCAGACAGCAGGCCGGCTTGTTTTGTTTTTATGACCGAAATTGCAGAAAAAAACTCGTGAAGTTTGACCCGCTAGAAGAGCTAAGTGCGCGACAAAACGCTGGGACCCTTTTTCCACCTGGATCTCCGCTCTCTTTGGCCCTCATGTCCCTCCGTCGTCGGACTAAACTCGTCCCCACTTCCTCGCCGCCTCGGCCGTATCTAGACCCAGTGTGTAGCTCAGACCACGCTTCAATACTGAGCATAATTTAAAAATGTCTGTGTGAAGCTTGCTGCAACACACTGCTGTGAGAGTATAACCAGGAAGCGAGGTAGGAGGGCAAAATAGGTTTAGCGCCACCGCAGCACGGGAGGGAGAATTACGCCCAGGAGCAAATGGATAAAAATAGACGGAGGGGAAAAAAAACATGAATCGATTCTCTTGCGGACGTGTCGATGCATCGGATCGTCGGCTTTTGGATCGATGCATCGATACAAAACGTTTATTATTTACACCCCTACACCCTTTTAATAAAACGGGTTATTATTGTTGTTCAATATCGACTGTGGAAAATCTGCTTCCATTTCAATCAACAACAGATTATTTGTATTTTTTGCTTTAAAACAATGAAAATTCATGTTTCACAAAGAACAAGCAATGATTTTCTTCTATTTAGATTAGATTAGATTCAACTTTATTGTCATTGCACATGTACAGGTACCAGGCAACGAAATGCAGTTTAGGTCTAACCAGAAGTGCAATAGCAGCAGGTGCAGGATAAATAATGGTTCTATAAATACAGGACATGGGTTTTCTACTGAATGAGTATAGAGATGAATACTATTATAAATAATGCATATAATATATAGATCACTAGTGTTATGAACTAAATTTACAGCTGGATATGTACTGAATATAATATACAGATGGATATAACTATAAAAAAAAAGGTTTTTACAGTTATGTAGAAACTTCTATAGGATATAACTTGATGTAAAAATAAAAACAAAAGAAAAAGAACATTTCATTTCCAAGTTATTGATGAGAGAAATAGATTTAAAATATATTTCTGGTTCTTTTAATTTAATTTTGTCTTAAAACTCCAGTCAAACATTCTTTAAACAAGTCATTAAAGCTTCCCAGTATGCTGTATGCCACATTATTATGGAGGACTAAGAGAGTCACTTTAAAAACGGATGAAATAATTATATCATCAAACTACTAAAATGCAAATTATATTGCTACGTTCACACCGGACACAGCAGGAGCAGCAAAATCGCATCTGCTGCTTCATTTTTGATGCTTGTACCAGTTTAGTTTAGCAAAGCTGCTCCAGCTGCGCGGTGCTAAAGTGTGTCTGACGCGCGTTGGGCGGAGCTTCACTATCCTTTCTCTGCCTTGCAGCTATATTTGCTGTGATCAGTGGGAATAAAGTAGTTTTAATATGTTTTTAAGTGAGAAAATCGACCTGAAAACTTAATCAGTGCAGTCAGTTCATCAAGATTACCATCCTGCCTTCCAATATTATTTCTGTCGGAGCCGCTCAGACCCCCACATACCAGCGGTGCGCTGTCAGTAGGAAAACCATTCAAGAGCACTCTGGCCCGGTCGCCTCCTCGCGGTTCGCCGCAGCGGCTGGAAGGTGGTTTTCATGTACATAATCCAAACTGCAGGCACCAGGATAATAAAAGTGAACACGCTTTGTTGGCAAGTTTCAGTATTTTAAGTTAATTTAGGCGTCAAACTGTTTCAGAGGAGTGATCATAGCGCTCTGTATCATCAGCGATGTGTCTGTCTCCCCGCCAGCTCCCAGATCAGCGTCTCTGATTGGTTGATGCGGCGCGTTGAGCAGCAAAAGTTTAATTTTTCCATCTCGAGCAGCAGCGCGTTTGCGGCGCGTCACGCGCGTCAGATGCTTAAACGCGCCCGATGCGCTGCTTCAGCTGCTCAGACGTGCTGCGGGACCTTTTGCTGCGCCTTGATGCACGTCAACCATTGACTTTGCATGTAAACTCGCTGCTTCTGCTGCCCCCGGTGTGAACGTAGCATATCTTTTAATCCTTATTATATCTACTGCAATTCAAAAATGAATTTAAAAATCATATTTCTAAATGGATATTTAAAAACAATATATAATCTGATTAATCGCACATTTTAAAATGTAATTCCTTTTTCCATTTCCAACTTGCATTTGCATTTTTTACTCGACCGTCTCCATCTACCTTTTCCGTGACCCTTCTGGACTTTTAGCACAATGAAAACCAGCTCAACCAATCACAGTTTAGTAATTTTAAACATGCCCAAAACGTCCTGACGTACTTACCGTAAGTCGACGTATGCCAGCGTGTTTCAGCGTACTCATAACTTATCCAACATGCATTTTTGCCAGATTTTCCGTACGTCAGGCATCAGATGGTTTAAATTATCAAGGTGTGACAGGGGCTTTATGTAGTGTGTAGGGCTGGGTGTTTTCGCCAAAGATCAATTCGATTTTGATTAATTAAGTTCTAAATCGATTAATTTCGATTCGATCCGTTTTGCAATAATGAAAGTGGTTCAACTGCGTTTCAAAATTCTGATGTATTTTATTTTTTCCTGTCATATTAAACACAAAGTGCAAAAATCAGACAGTTTTAACTTGAGATATAAACAAAAAAGTCTCATAAGTGCGAAACGTTTGTGAAAAGGTGAAGCCTCACTCACTCAGACATGCATGATGTAGGGTAAATCCAAGAGTTTCAATTAAATCCGTGTTAGGTTGGAGTTTTGTGGCTGACGCGTGTTCCAGGATCCAAAAAAAAAAACAATAGCCTCCACTGACGTCACGTTTTGCCTTTTTTATTTTAAAACAAAGGCGATAACAAAAAAAACGAACGTGTACAAAAATATACCTCTTAAACTTTCACAAAACTAAAATCTGAGGTTCCACAGAGTAATAATATATGCATGGCTCAAGCAAAACACGGTCAGAAAACCGTGAGCCACCAACCTTCCTCCTCCCGTGTCTGTTTACAACGGTTACCTTACTGGGCACCTGGCGCAGAAAAATGATGTCATCAAAAGGCACACTAAGCAACGTCCTGTAAATATTTTAAATTAACATTTTTTAACTTGTATGTATTTTTAAATCAAATTATTATTGTCACTCATTAATGTAAATGAAATATCAAATTCTCATAATACAAATAATTTCAAACTATACATAAAACAGGCATATGGCGCCTACACATGAGCTGCATTATCTTCACTGCACAAATTATATTTGCAGCGTTGTCTGTAACAACTACAGGGTGTTTGCTGGTCAGCCTCCATTTGTTAAAGGTACACTATGCAACCGGTGTTGATTTTCCAGCGAGGCTCCCCCCAGAGGGCGAAAGTAAAAGTGCACTGTCGTAAATATGCTCAGCTGTTCTCCTGGTTTCTCCGTCAAGCCAGGCGCAGTTGTTTTGAGCTTCGCAGACAGGCGAACGCAATGAATCACCATGTCTACTGCGGTAAGTAACTATTTTGTTCCAATTTTCGAGTTTGAAAATTTTGCATGTTTTCATACATTATTTGTTATGCAAGTGTCTTTCACTGGGGGTGTGTAGCAGTTCTCGCCGTAAAGCAAGACCGACTCTCGCGATGCACGAGACTTCTGAGCCTGTGGGTGCGGGCCGAGGGCTCCTGCAATTGCAAGTACGGTATTTCCCCCACAGACCACCAGGGCGGCCGAGAAAACCTTTGTTCGACCTGAAATGACTCATTTAATCATCCAAAACGTTATGGAACACATTAATTAACTGAAAAATGTTGCATAGTGTGCCTTTAATGTCTTCAGTAAACCTATTGGCTATATTTGCAGCTGTCTGGCTTGAAGTCATCTTGAGAGCATCTTTCCTGCTCATTTGAATGTGAACGTCATGAACTAATCGATCTCATTCCCTAGACATCGATTTTGCAAAACTGTAAAGGAATCTATTCAAAATCGATTAAATAAATTCTTTCATCCAGCCCTAGTAGTGCGATTGAAATCTATTGCCTCTGAGCTTTCGAAAAAGCTTTTTAAAAAACATTGATTAAAGCTTTTTTTACTGATTAAAACAGTTTTCAAAGTTTAATTTCTGGATTGTGTTTTTTTCCCCCCACATCTGTCTTTGCTTGCTTCAATAATGCATCAAAGTTCACCCCATAGACCAGGAGAGCTGCAGCTTACCATGTGAAAGATAATCTTGAAGGATGTTGGAAGCCTCTGTTTTGTCATCTCTGATGTAATCGGCGTGTCCCAGCGCTCGGATGGTGAGCGGGCAGTGGGAGGCAGGGGAGAAGAGGGGGTATGACTTCTGACCCTCGTCGATGGTGAACCCCATCACTTCAACGCGACCATACAAACAGGTCAAAACGCACTTCCCACGGAAGCACAGTGTCTGCAAGGAAATCAGGTTCGAATAAATATTGACGATTGTATTCCAGGGTTCCTACAGCATAAGGCAAGTTAAATTCAAGACTTTTTAGACTTTTTAATGCCACTTGAAATAAAAATTTAAGACCAAATTCACAAGAAACACAAGAAAAACCTGCTTGCGACAACTTAACCCAAAGGTTTATTTTAACATAAACCACTGCACTAATGTTTCAGATTTTTGAAAAGCTTCCCATACAGGAAGAAAGCTAAAAACACACAAATGACAGATATATTTGAACAATTATTTAACTGAATTCACAAACTTTGTTTTAGCAGGGAACAAAACAAATCAGTTTTAAAGCCCCAACATAACCAGTGCTAAGTCTTTTTTGCAGCTATTTCTCTTTGTATGGTTTTCTTAGTATGTTTGATTTGGTGATAAGTGGAGGCGTTGCAGAGACAAGGGTGGAACTAAACTGAGAAATACCGGCTGTTTCTCTCCATTTTGACGCTTTGTGTTTCGCATGTGCGACTCCACTGCCTTAATTCCCATCGTTCCGAGCTTGAATGACTTCTTGCTAGGGATGCACGATATAATTGGCCCCCTATCGGTATCGGCCTTAAAACTGAATATCGGACATCGGCCACCCCACCGATATTTAACCCGATATTTGATCAGCCTCTGAGTTTCTAAAGTCTAAAAAAATAAAAAAAATACTACTTCTTCTTCTTCCTCAAAAACTTCTTTTTTTACAGACTTAAAAACTTCTAAAGACGAGGGAAAAAATATTGATACATTAGAATATCACAATATCCTTATATGCTGATATATTGCCATTTAAAAACACCATATCAATCTCTTTTACTAATGAAATGTTGCTATATGTCATCGTTATGCTACGAAATCCCCGAAAATTTACAAAATGTTGCCATATTTTTATATGTTGATATATTGACGCGGTATCTATCTATTTTACTAACAAAATCTCACAAGAATTTGCAAAATATCACGAGAGTTTGTAACAGAACAATGAAATTTCACGAGATTTTGAAAGTAAAATAGATCGATACCGCGTTTTTAAAAATCAATTTGATATAAGCATATGAAAATATATTTGAGTATATTATTTTTCAAAGTGTCAGAAATGGATAACAAAACTGCTATTTTCAATGACTACTTATTTTTGTCCAGCTTTAACATCGGTATCGATATCGGTTATCGGCTACATGAGTTTTAAAATGTCGGCATAGCGGATATCGGCCAAAATCCCAATATCGTGCATCCCTACTTCTTGCACGAAATCCACTGAGCCTCATGTATGTTCCCTGGTTTTAGCCATGGAGAAAACTCTTGGCTGGAGCCAATTTTCGTTACATTACTTGCTAATGTTTTCCCAAATGTCCCGGCCGCAACAACGCTTTTATTGGTTCCGCGGGAAGGAACTAATAATGGGGAGCCGTTTTTTTTTTTTTTATAAAAATTCAAATTGTAACGTTTTTTTTAGATTACAAACAAAAATCGTAATAAAAATGATCCTATTTATGTTGTTTTAAAAATTAAGACCTACGAAAGACTGATTTAAGACATTTTTAATACCAATTAAGGCCTTAGTTTTATTTTTAAGAATTCAATGCCTTTTAAGACTTTTTAAGGACCCGCAGGAACTCTGTATTAGTTTGAAAATCAGGGATTGTCGGGTGAAGAATACCTGATTTTTCTGCATGATCAACACCGCCCGGTTCTGTTGGTGGCTTCTTTGTGCATAGTGATGAAGAGCCTCCCCCTCCAGTCTCCCGCCTTGGACTTCTGTATCTTCCGACGACTCCGTGCCGTTAGCGTGAACTGATCCTGAACTCTCCCTCCAATCCTGAAGATCCTGTTTCTCGTCCTCCGGGGGAAACGTGGAGCAGCCATTGGCTTGAGGGCTAGTTTTGTCAATTCCAGATTCAGGAGAGGATTTCTTGTTTTCAGAAACAGTTTTTGCTTTCTTTTTCAGCCTCTTCACAGAGGGTTTCTTCTTCACAGACACCTGGTGCTCCTTTATCATCTTAACCATGACAGGACTGGAGTTCAGATCCGAAGGCTTGGTGGAAGGTCTGCAGCGTTTACTCCGTACGTCTTTCCATTTCTGAGATTTACCTTTTACCTGTGCGGTTTTGTTCACCTTCATGATCGTACAAACAACATGCAGTAATCCGGTGCAAAGTCAAACCAATAAGTGGAACCTGTAGAGATATATGTGAGTTATTTACCAAAGAATATAGATCAAACCAACTCTGAAAAAAGACTTGAGCTTTCTTTCTAATTCTTATTCTCTTAAATCTATATATTCCACAGTAAACAAGCATGTGACCTAAAAAAAAAACAACAACAAATTTCTCTATACTGGTCTTAATAAGCAGCGTTTCTTTTGTTTTTTAGCTTTTATACGGGTATACAGAGGGATTGTTTACAGAAAACAGGCTTAATTCAGGCTTAGTTGACCAAGTCAGGCTTATTTTGAGGTCATCTCCTAAAAGGCCGTCATGCACTAAACTTTTTATGTATTTTTTTTTCTATTTTGGGTGCATACATAGCGTATTCATAATGACCCCAGAACTTATGTCGAATGACAACTTTGTTGCATAAGTTTGGCTGTCGTTCATTGTCATTGCACTGTCAGGAGTACAAAGCAACGAAAATGTGGTATGCATCTATTACAGGTGTATGTACAAGCAAAAAGTAATAGGAACGGTAAAAAGTTTTGTATAAATATAAATATGGGAGCTACATGCACAGATTATACATAATATACAGGACTGTTAGGAAAAGGATTATATATGTATTAGCAGGTTTATAATATAAGATAAATAATGGCAGGTAAAATTTACAGATTATATACAGATTCTGTAAAACTCTGTGTTTTACAGAAAGAATTGAACGTGTTTAGCCAAGTTTGAAGATGTTTCGCTTACCATCCAGGAAGCTTTTTAAATTCAAAATGTCAGGAATAGCGTTGAGTTTGAGGGTTTATACAGTCGCCCAACAGAGGCTTGTTTTTGTTTTGAAAACATGCTAATTGAAACGGAAGAAGGGGTGCACCCATTTGTAATGGGGATCGTTTGGCTTCTTTTGTTAGACTGCAATGCCCCATACCCATCTAAGTGTCTGAAAGGTCGGTCAACGGGGATTGTCGGACTGGCTGAAGAGACGAGGTCCTCCACTCTCCCTTGCAGGGGGAGGGGCTGCTGTACAAAAGCTTAAAATCAAGGCTATTCCTGACATTTTGAATTTAAAAAGTACCGAAGAGGATTAGGCCCACTTGAAAAAAAAAAAAGTTAACTGATTTTTACATTTTATTTTAGTTTAATATAGGAAAATATAACATAAAAACTTTTTTTATTGTGAGAATTCAGTCAGAATTCAGAGATTAAAGTCAGAATCCTGAGAAAAAAGTCAGAATTCTGACTTTTTTTCCCCCATACTAAACTGAAATAAAATTTTAAAATCTGTTAACTTTTTTTTTTTCCACTGGCCCTAATCTTCTTCCGTAAAAAAGCTTCCTGGATGGGAAGTGAAACGTGGGACCTGAAACTGTCAAATATAGTCCAGTTCTTTCAATGATTACGCTACAGACCTAGTCATACTTAAAAAAAAAAAAAAAAAAAAAACGCGTTTTATCTGCCATTATGGGATTCAGTTTGAAGAATTTCCAATAAGAAAAACAGAAACATTACATAATTTACTATATTTTTCCATCTTCATGTTTGTGAACAACATATCCAAACCTCAATGGTGGAAATGTTGGCCAAACCAAACTGGCTATGAGTTATTCAAAGATGACCCTTTTCAACAGACTGATAGCAAGGGCAGATTAACGATTCACATTCCATCAAAATTGGACAATATTTTCAGATGAAACCTAACACTATTTTTTTAATTCAATAAAGAATGTAAACTGAATAGACTTTTTGTTCCAAAGGTGAATATTATCTGCTCATCTCAGTTTTGCTAAATATATGAGCACTTGCAAGTAAACAACTACAAATTCGTTTTGACAAAAAAAGCATATAATTCAACCAGATCAATGGCTGAACATTAAATCATACTTAATTTTGAATTGCATCTTTTCAAGTAATTTATTATTAACAGAGACATAAATGACTTAAAAAAAACTAACTTAAATCTACATTTACAATCATTGTATCACTTCAGTTATTTTGATTCCATTTTAGACAGATGTATTTGTTCTGTGGTGGAATTGACGTATATATTCCTAAATAGCAGGTAAATAGTGACCATGGGCTGATCAATCCGGTTTCCATCAGCTTTTCTAAACCTTGCAGCTATCATGTCCCAGATTTAGCTCCCTTTCTATTTCCCTTTATCTTGTACTCTAAATTGAACCTATTAAATCAAATATCTTTATTACTGATTCCCAGCCACTCCAAACTCCAAATTAAAGTTACCAAACATGTTACAAATCAGACCAAGTTAGCCTCAGTTAGCTTAGTTAGAAAACAGCAAAGGGGTGAGATGAACGCAAACTAGCTCTAATTATTTCTCTTAAATAAAAGTGCTTTAGACTGTGCGTTTAAGAAACACCCCAAGTGTAGAATTTCACGTGAACCGATTGTTACCATTATTACGAGACTGCAGCCTTTGCAAAGAAATAGCACTAGCCTACTGCTAACGCTATCCAAATACAAAAGGAAAACTTACCACCCGCTTCGGTGAACACTATATAAAGCTATGGCGAGCACGCTTTTTACGTCTACCAACTACACAGCGTTTGAAATACATAAATGTGAGTAAAAGTAATGAATTAGTTATGCTAGTTAGCCGACAGGCTAACTTGCGTGTGTGAATCGCAAACTAGCAGACCTATCATGCTGGATAAAAGGCGCTGTTGCGATTGGTTGTCAAGGAACCAAGCAAAAGTGACGTAAAAACATGACCGACAAAAAACTTTCACGGAGAGATTTTATTTAAGAAGCTTTTATGTTTAAACAAGTAAACCAAATATATCAAAAATAAATAGGCACTAAATCACTCTTGAAAACGTTGACACATTCATTGAAAAGAGCGCCTTTTTGATGGGTTATTTGTATTTTTTTATGGATCAAATTATCTAAAAAAAAAAAAAAAACTTTCCCGGAGTTAAACGGCGTCACATCCTCTTCCTTTTTCGTTTAGGGGCCTGCGAGTAAAGAAAACAAGGTTAATTTAGCTACGTTTTTCTTATTCATCCAGCTATCCACATTAAATAAGCTGTGTAAAACAAGCTATAGCAGACTAAGGTTGGTTAATCTTCTCCTGCAGATGAATTCATCCGGTTGCTGCTGCTTCAGTCGTACCGGGCTAAGGGAGCGTCTTTAAAGGTATGTGCGAGAAAGAAACGTGAAGATGCGCAGTTTGGGAAGCTTTCTATTTATTCCAACATCTTCAGCTACCTAAATACTAGACAACTAAAACCATATATGTGCTTTGACGTATAGCATATCAGCCATTAATTACAAAGGTAAATCTTATTTTTTTAATTAGAAATGTGATTTATTTTAATACAATGGAAAAAAATTAGGATTATTTAATAAGTAAAGTCCTGCAAAGATCTTTGTAAAATGTAAACTAATCCACATTTTGTCACAGTATTGCAACAAAGCTCAAGTTTATTATGTAAATAATTATAATATTTTATCTGGATTTTATGTGTCCAATAAGAAAGATGTACGGAAGAGGATTAGGGCCACTGAAAAAAAAAAAAAGTTAACTGATTTTTTAATTTTATTTTAGTTTAACATGGGGAAAAAGTCAGAATTCTTACCCTTTTCTCAGAATTCTGACTTTAATCTCAGAATTCTGACTTTTTTCTCAGAATTCTGAGATTAAATTTAGAATTCTGACTTTTTTGTCAAAATTCTGACTTTTTTCTCATACTATACTGAAATAAAAAAAACAAAAATCTGTTAAATCTTCCGTAAAGATGCATTTAGGGTTGCAACACTTTTTTTTCTTTCTCGTTTTTCTCAGTCACTCCTGAACAATGAGGCCACCCCCTTATTTAAATGATAAACTTACATATGTCTGCTAAATGACCATTGCATTGAACTTTAATTACTTAGGACTGTTTCTATTCGTAAAAAACAAAAAGAAAAGAAAAGAAATAACTGATTTTTTTATATTATTTCAGCTTATGTGGGGAAAAAAAGTCAGAATTCTGACTTAAACCTCAAAATTTTGACTTTTTTCTCATAATTCTGATGCAGTGATTAAATACAGAGAGTTCATTTCTCCATTGGGAGAAATTGATAAATTTATCAAACCGATAAGCCTTCAGCACAAAAAAAAAAAAAATTGTTAATGGTTAATATTTGTTTAAACCAAATCTTCATTAAGTGAAGTTACCGATAATAGATGGAGCCAGAAACTTTACCTTAGTAAGAATAGTAATACTTTATCCTAATTTTTACTTAAGTAAAAATAGAAATTACAATGCTGTAAAAATAGGAAGTACATTTTCTTGGTTATTTTAATTCAAATTTTATATTATTTATATTTATTTATATAACTTAAAAAATATATATTATTTCAAAAATTTTTACAGATTTTTTTTAGAATTTATTTTCACATTTTATTTCTTCAAAAACAATTCTTTACATGTTTTTCTGTTTTCATTATTTTTTTAATCAAATTTCTCTTTTTCAGATTGAGTTTTACCAATTGCATTATTTTCAAACTGCAGATTAAATTCTCCTCACTTCAAGCCCGATACAAACGCTTGCAAGTGTGCAGGTGTTCAAATAAAATATAAATTGATTTTTTTCCCTTAAGGTATTATTTTTAGGGTCAAATTCTCCAGAAACAATTAAAAAAATATACAAATATGAATTGTTTTTAGTATTCATACCATGTCAAATGACTACTGTATTTGAAAACAGTTTTTATAAAAAACCTAAAACATACGAAGAACCTGGAAGTTAATATGAAAATAACTTTGCATTTGAAGGGATAAAATATCCTTATTTGATTGTTGCTGGGGTTTTTTTTTTTATCAGAGCAAGCAACGAAATTAATAAATATAATTTTTTTATTAATGCAGAAATGAAGATACAAAATGTTTAACGTCTTTCCTTATCCGGCTGCAGCGAATCAGGATGCCTGCTTTGGAAACCAGCCATGCACAGCGTGTCCTTTCCTCCCTAAACCAGCAGAGGGCAGCGGGGAGATTCTGTGATGCTCTGCTCAATTTGGGAGATGGTGTGCTCTACATGGCTCACCGCAATGTCCTCGCCTGCTTCAGCGATTTGTTCCAGGTGTCTGTCTCAAACTCCAGCCAGCCTGCAGAGTTCTCCCTGCAGGGTTGCCCCAGCGACGGCCTTGACCTGCTTCTGAACTTCGTCTACACAGGAGAGCTGAAACTGGAGGTGAACAACCTGCAGAAGGTGCAGGAAGCAGCAGCCAGCCTGTGCGTACCAGAAGCCCTCAATCTCTGTCAGCAGTTCCAGGTTAACTCTGGGGGCCCCGTCACTTTGAAACGGAGAAGAGGTCGACCCAAAAAATGTCAGACAGACACTGTTAAGGAAGAGAACCCTCTGATGGTCCTGACCGAAGAGTCCAGCTTTGATGCTTCTGCAGCTGGTTTTACCATCCTGGATGATGCTGCTGCTCCCACCAGCAGCACCACCACACGCTCCGGCCGAGTAGTGAAGGGCCCTAAGAGACTAGTGACTGCTGATGCAAGCCCAACATCAGATTCCAAAACTGCTCTCAGTCCTGTGGTGAATGAGATGTATGCAGATGCAGCTGAACATCTGAAATCAAATCCGTCAGCTGCTGAGTCTGAGGTAAAATAAAAACACATCCACATAAGGATACAAATGATACCAATAATCTACAGATCCCTGTTTTCCTAAAGTTACTGCTGCAACGCTAAGGTTACTTCTCAGCCAGTTTGAACATTGGAAAGTTTAATATTTCAGTTCATTTTTAGCTACATGGATTATGTAACGATGGCTTTCCAACGATGGCTATATTGGTAAACATTTACTAGTGTAATTTTCATGCATTCTTGGTTATTATCTGTTAATTTAAAGCGGTGGGTTTTGAGAGGTTAATTTATCTACAGTAATACTTGAGTCAGATATTACATATACTATTAAACTTTAAAATGTACAAATGCTGGTGAAGATTCTCAGTCATCCAGGTCATAGTCATTCCAAAAAATGTAAATAACAATCCACTGGACTTTGTTTTTCAAGGTTGAAGATGTTTCGCTTTCCATCCAGGAAGCTTTTTCAATTCAAAATGTCAGAAAAAGCGTTGAGTTCCATGTTTTTTAGAGTGGACCAAAAACAAAGCCTTGTCTTGGGTTGCGATGGTGATTCCTTCCCGCTGTCATCGCATTGTTTTTGGATTGTTTTTTTTAATTTTTTTTTAAATGTACAATTAAATAGTTAAATTTCCCAATACGTTATTAAAATACATTTTAAATTGATAAATTTTAGAATTTCATTTAAGAATAAATTTTTTCGAAAACAGGAATGATTTTATTTTGTATAAATGATTAAATATAGATTGAAGCCATATGCGTCTCCGGTCTGTTGCATCGTTATTTTTAGGGTCAAAGGGTGAAGGAACCCCTGATATAAACCATGTAGTTTTTGCTCTGGCTGATGTTTAAAGTTTATGTCTTATATTTCATATTTTATCCTGTTAAAAGGGTCTATTTGGACCCCTCTGGCTACAGAACCTTCTTCTAAACAGTTATGGCCCCTGCATAGATGAAGTCAGGTTGTTGTTCTCGTCGCTCCACTGTAAAGGGCAGATATGTGAAGAGCATGACTAGGTGTCCCGTCATCAGGTTATCCCGTCATCCCCCATGGGACTGCTGGCTTCCTAATGCTCTGTATCCTGTCAGTTCGAGGACCCAGCCATATCTTTGTAGTTTACCAGTTATGCCATGCTCTTTCTAAATGTAGATCATTAATAAAACTGCACGTCTTGAGATGTGGAAGCTTAGTTTATCACCTCAAAGCCTCACCCAGCTTTAAATTTCTCCACAGCTTTCATCCTGACCCATCTGGCTGTTATCATGTTGGTTGTTCCCTCATGTTCTTTATTAAACCTCTTAGTCCAGAAACACAACAACTGAATTTTACTGAATAAGGCTATAAACAGATGGACTCTACTAACTAGTTAGGTGACTTCTGATTAAAAGATAATTGGTTGTGCTGTATTTGATTTAGTCTTGGTAAAGTAAAAGAAGTTAGAATTCAGATTTCCTTTATTTAGTTTTGAAGACAAATAATTTTCCTTCCACTTCGTTAATGTTCTACTTTGTTTGCTGTTTCATATCAAATCCCAAGAAAAAAAACGTACATTTATTCATGATGCAAAATAAAGATAAATGTATCAATTGTACAGTGTGCTTTTATGACATCCTTGGAAAATAATAATTTGGTTTCAGAAAAAAACGTTTTCAGATCTTAGAAATAAAGTTGTCAGTTCTTAGGTCTCACACTGGAAAAAATTGAAATCTAAATAAGTCATTTTTTCTTAAAATAAGTGCATTTATTCTTAGATTGAGGAGGTAAAAGATACATTTTGCCAATGGAACAAGACAATTTACATTTAAAATAAGAAAACACAATTGCATTGTCTTATTTCAAGTGCATATTATCTAATGATCTTATTTTAAGAGTAAAACTACACATTCCATTGGCAAAATCTCATTTACCTGCTCAAATTAAGGAAATATACACTTAATTTAGGACATTTTTGCCTATTTCTAGATTGTTTTTCCAGTGCAAGAAATCAACATCTTTTGAAATTAATTAAACCCGGGGTACCAGATCTGCGCGGGCCCCGCCCCTTCTGTAGTGAATCTTGACCAATTGAGCAGGTAC